ACAACAACATACACAACATCAAGCTTTATCCCACTACGTGGGTCGGCTACATGATCCTTTTTCTCCAATTGTGTATCCTATTTAAAAGTCAAAATTTCTCGTGTTAAATCTATATAAAGATAAGGGTCATTCCTTTAAATATTTTCTACCAGACTTTTTGGTCTACCCCCTACCTTTCTTACATAATGTCAATCTAATATTTCTTTACTCTCCTAAAGCCGGCGGGTCATCAGTGAAGGCCGCCGTTTTATGTGACCGCAAACCTATCTAAGGCTGCCTTTCTCTATCTTTCTTTCTTACTGAGGACTACTGCCAATTCCTTTTCCACGTATTGCTCATTTCGTATCCTATCTCTAAGGGTTAAAGCACACCTCATCCACTCTGAGCAACTCTCATCTCTTGCACACCTTAACTTAGTAATTATGCTTCTCTTTTAAAGGCCAACACTTCCGGTACCATAAAGCATTGCATGGCCTCACTAATCTATATAAGAATTTTCCTTAAGTTTTGGGGTACAATTTCTATTCAATATAAAGCCGATTGCATTCCTCCACTTCAACCATCCAACTTTGAATTCTGCTGATAATATCCCATCTATGTTGTCCCATCAACTCTGACAATAGATCCAAGATATATCTCAGAATCACTCTCGTCACAATGAGTGTGTCGTGGTCCATCGCAAGCATCCGTAGACTGCTTTCGATCAGACTGTCCTGAACCTTACCGTGAGTGCGTGTGTGTCACATACCTATCTTCATGCGACGTCGCGTCTGTGATGTCTCGTGACACTACTACTTATAAGACACTACGACTATACTAAGACTGAGACTCGGTGGAGCCGTCCGCAGTAATTCATTTGCTATCCATCTATATATAGTCCTCGTAATAATGTCACTCCCATATTCGAGCAAGAAAGCATTACACCAAGGACATCCTCTCTGGCGTGTCATATCTAGACACATACGTGTGAGTCTCAACTATTCCCTGTCGCAGCATATCTCTTACTATGTGTGTCCTCTCTCCCTCTATATCTGTCCACCATCGATGTCGCATATTTCTCCCGGGTGGAAAAATGAGTCGTCTCCGTCGAGTTCGCATCTCCGGGCAACCATGCTCTGATATCAACACTGATTGTAGAACGAAAGGGGGGATGTGATGGGAGACTGACGGCGTGTGGGGCTTGGGTGATGTGTTTAATGGTTGGCGGGCTATGGAGGGCATGTGGCCAGCGGTTAAGACCTTGTGGAGTGGATTGATGTTTGATCCAATAAAAAAAGTAAATCTAATAATTCAAAACAACAAAAAAAAAAAAAAAAGATTGTGTAATGGTGGAGTACTAGAGATGATATAGACGAGAACAAAGAAAAAATATGATACAAAACCATCGTGCTGCTACTATATGCCAGATGCACGTATTCTATACGTATGTGATTGATGACTAGCCTTAATCGAAAGTTCTCTCTCGTTATCGGGAGGGGTAATTAACTATAGGGGCTTGCGCCTATAGGAAATCAGAACTCAGATCATAAAGTCCTCACAAAATGAGGGCGAAATCTCTGGGTAGTGTCTTATCTACAAACCCATCTGCCTTCCAAAATTTACCTCGGAACTTAGTTCGTTAAAACTCCCTCGCCGAATAAGAAAAGCGAGTGGAGGCCGAGGCCGAATTTTCGGAGCCCACACCATCATACCTCATACAAGAGAATGAGCCCCTATATATAGGCCTCAAAAGAAACTAAAAGACAAATTTGCCTCTTAACCTTACATAAGACAAGACTCTTAAATAAAAAGATTTAAAAAGGAAAATTGCAAAATTAAATTAAAATACAATTAATAACTAAAATAAAACGGAGTGATCTCGGCCGTCGATCTTCGACTCTTCCTTTGATTATCGTCCACCATCGGATGTCCGCATCAGTTTTGTTAATACTAAAATCTCTAGAATGTTTCTAACTAGGAATATAGTTGGAATGGATGTTACTATTTCTTTGGATAAGGAGGTTTGGATTGGTTCCTCTAGTGATTATTAGCATAATTTTGAATGTAAAGGCATCCCTTCTTATTGTTATTATTGTAGCATTTTTTAACACAACAACTCAGAAAATTTCAAGGAACACCTAAAACTAGAGAAATCATATGTTATTGATTCTTCCGTTCAAATTCAAAAGCACACATGATCAAAATCTACCATCAAACTTGGTAGTGCAATTCCTCCTACTTCAAATCAGGCTTGCTTACAAAATTTGTAACCAGCCTTGGATTTTTTTCCATGGAGCTTTCAAAGTCTTCCCTTGGTATCTTAAGCCCTAAGATTGTGAACATTTCCTCATCTGGATGCATTGACATTGATCTACATACTATAAATAAGTTAAAACCTTAATTAACATATTAATGAGAATGTTTGTACCCCAAATTTTGAAAAGCTTTATCATTATGATGTTAACATCCTAGTTATCAAAGCACAAATAGATAGGAGGTTTCAAATACTGTTCTTCAAGAAAGGCAAGAAGAAAAAATTTTCAAGATTCGCTAATTTTTATTCTACAGCAAGCAAGGCAATATAAATGAGAGTTTGTAAAGATCTCCTTATCTATCAAATGAATATTTTTCAAATATCATCATGTTACCTTTAATGTATTTTTTCATTTCTTTACATTATTATTTAGACATTCCTTACCATTGCATTACATTGTACTCATTTCATTGAATGCTTACAAAAAATTGCTTTTAAAAAACTAAGAAAATGATGGATTTCCTAATATTTCAAAAAATTAGCCCAAAAAGCATCATGGCACCAAAAGTTATTTGCTACATCTATTTTTTCAATTCAACTGGGAAGTAACACAATGACAAAATATAGCACATACCGCAAGAGCAGAAGCCGCACTGTCTCTTAGAAGTTGCTGTGCTCTTTCCATTATAGAACATAAAAAGTCAAGGGTTGGTAATCCTCTTGCATCTACTGATGAAGCTTCAGAACGTGGTTGATGTTGAGCACTGTTTGGGGAGCCATTATGACTTTGCAACACTAATTCCATCCGATCAATGAACTCAGAAAGAGTTGTCACAGCATTAGAGATAACCTGAATTACCAAAAAGAAAAAAAGAAAAAAAAAACTAAAAATGATAAAATAAAGGTAGGGTGATGTAGAGTTGAATTTGAGTGAAATAATCTCAATCTAAAATTGAAATTTTTAATTTTAAGTAGAGCCGATTCAAGTTGAGTTGAAAGTTATAAATTTTGAGTCGATTTTAGAGTTGATTCAAGTCAATTCTATTAATTTTACAAAATAGTTTTAATCACTGATTAAAATTATATATATATATATATATGCAGAAATCATATGGAGTCAATTTCAAAATAAATCAACCTTCTTCCAAATGAGCCAATTTTGAAAAATAATAAATTAATTTCAATTTTAATTTAATTAAAACTAGAACGAATTTCAAGTTCCAAGCATAATTATCAATCCTAAATAAAGATCAACTCAAGCATTGCCAAAAAAAGTGAGGCAGTAAGAATTACCACTGGTTGATTTAAAGTTCGTATGAGCGGCAACTGAGAAAACTGTATTGAGGCCTGTTGTGGGCTGTTATTAGATGGCACAAATCCCTCATGTGCTGAGTTAATTGGCTCTGTTCTGCTGGTATTTTGAGATATTCCTAATCCACCTGAAGAGGCCTGATTTAACCGCAAAGTGCATAAAGCATTTGCCAAATTAGTGAGTCAAAACTAACTGGAAATATAATCCCTACGTTTCAATTACAAGAAATAAATTGTCACTCACTACAGTAACAGTTGGAGCATTGGTAGTTGCCCCTGTTGGATCTACTGTTACCAGTCCTAAAGAACCGAGAAATGACTCTATATTCTGTACAAAAGAGAGTGGGAAGAGAGATGTGAGAGAGAATAATAAATGCATGAAAAGCAAAAAAAAAAATAAACAAAGTCAAATTTAGAAGTTGCATGTACCCGACTGATATCAGTTAACATAGCTTCACCATTTCTGTCTGCCACATTAATTGTTCCGACCAATACACCGTGAGCAACCTGTCCAACCCTATTGCGTTGTACCCCAGAACCCGAATCATTTGCTGCAGAAAAGAAAAGGAGAACATGGGGTAAATTTCATGTAAAAACAGGAGTTAGCCATCAAGTATCTCAAAGATGCTGTTCTACATCTCCAGAGAAAGAGGAGCATCAAAGATGATCCCAAGGAAAATCAAAGAATAACACAACACTTAAATGGAAACATCAGGACAAATCTAAACTTAAAAATAGGTTGGGTGGTTTCCATGAATCCCTTGGGCTTCAAAACACACAAATAGGGAGATTGTAAGTGACAATACACCTAGAAGGCTCAAAAACATGCACGTAATTTGTTAGATAAATATCATCAAACGGGAAATGGTAAATTCAACAAATTATCATACAAAGTTGTCAAAAAGGACCATCAATAATCTCATCTAGGAGAGAGTTGAAAAACCAGCATGGATGATACTCTCAGAAACACAGTCCACCTTAGATAAACCAAAAGCTACCTGAGGCTCCTAAATGCCTCGAATAGGTAACAAATTCTCAACGTCAAATAAACCAATAATCATGTCAGAGAATATTAATTACAAATGCAACAGGTTCTAAATTTCTCCAAATATTGCACAACCAAAGCCGCTTGACTTTAGCTTTTGTTAGTGTGATATCGTAAGCAAGTGGCCATGATCACAAAAAAAAAACGTTTATGTATCAAATCATTTATCGAGAAAAATGGACATACTCAGCAAAACATTCATTGCTGTGAGGCCTAGCACTATGCCGAACAATCATTATAGCTTTCAAACTTTTAAGATGTCAGACAATTTTATTTCTGGAGCAAGCATGGCATTCATGTAAATGACAAACAAGTATTATACAAAAATATTATTCATGCATATTTAAAAAAACCTATATGCATGGCATTCGTGAACCAATCTTAAAACCTATATGAATGATCGGCTACTGTTGACCTATTTAAAAAAATCAAATAAAAAAACTTCCCTCAACCCACAACACAACCCTATTCCTCCCTATTATGGTCCGTGCACACACATGTTTGCCGTCGCCTACTTAAATCAAAACATCAAATCCCCTCTCCCGTATGATCTCATGCTCTCCCTCTCATTTATCCGTTCTCCTCCCCGTTCCTAACCCAAATTCCCGAAACCCTCGACAATTAAGGAGGAAGAAGCGACTAGGAGTTTGTTGCACAAGGATTTGAGGCACATAAAGGAGGTGAGGAAGTTGCACACATGCTCACAAAAGTAGGTATCGACGATTCCAATGGCATGTGAAGGGGAGAGAATTACTGAAGAAAACAGAAACTTCCCGCATGTGAGTATTTTTTGTAAGAATGAAAAATCAGGAACAAGGCCTACATTGACCTCACCATTCACGTAAAAACATCTGTGACTCCATGGATCCAAATTTTAGAAATTTAGTATTTCGTATCCTTTTTCTTGCTTTGATCTTGTCTTGAGCTCTATTTTGCAATACAACATCTCCCATTTATCTATCGTGGGCTGTGGTGATCTAGAGAAGACAACTATCTTGCAGCATGTTTTTGAAAATGAAATGACCAAATAACTTGATATTAAAATGTGGGATTGTGTTTCCAAGTACTTGGATGTGAAGAGAATCATTGCAGGTATGGTAATCTTAAAATGAAAAGACATGATTTAGAGTCACTTGATGTATTTCGAAGGAGCATAAATTTAAGGTGGCGTCCAGAAAGATTTTACTTGTGTGCTTGATGTCATTTGGAAGTAGGAAGAAGAGTGGGACAAAACTGAATAAAAAATGCACTGGCTTCATCACTATCATATACTCCTCAAGTGCATGTATAAAAAATACAACCTTCAAAAACTCCCAAAATCTGGAATGCAGCGTTTGGTTCGACAAGTGTAGCCCTTGCCACATTTTTCTTAGCCCGATGGGGGAAACTCGTAGATGATGTTCACAACACTAGTAAGCCGTATTCGCATTTTTCTTAGCATATTGGAAAAATTCAAAGTTAAGTATCTATATGCATCTTTTTTGCACAACGAGGAAATATTACAGACTTAAAACAAGTACTGGGAAGGCTTAGCACCCCCAAAGACGCCCGCTACATCAGAGAGAAACTAGAAGACTGCCAAATTTTTTTAAAGACTTGAAGACAATAAAATGAAAGTGACTCACGAACAAAAATGCAATTAAAAATAAAAAATGATAAATATAAACTTACAATGTGAATAATATGAACATTTGAAACATATGTCATGATAAATAAAGACATAACTTGAACTGAAACAGGGCTTGCAGGGGATCTACAATGAACTCAATTGCACCACAACAACACAACAAGTGCGAACAAAACTTCCCCCTTACTCCTAGAACCCTCCTAAAACATTTAGAAAATTTAAGAATACATCAATGAGATGAACCAAAACTGAAAATGAACTAAAATGGATTGTCTTTATCGCTGAAAAAATGATCCCCATTGGGCTCTTACCTGAGTAAATGCATCATTTTTAAAACATGCAAAAGATTTTTACTTGTGACAATCACAACCGAATCTGGAAAAAAAGGCAAAAGAGGATAGAATCCAAGCAATAATAAACCTAACATGTAAAATCATGAGAATGCTCCAACGACAACACATTCACGTAAACACATAACTGTGTAACTGTCTTCAAATAGAGTCTTCAAATAGAGCAAAGTGGCATAACTTGTTGCACGTCATAGGTGTACGGATGCCTTAATCAACGCACACGTTAATTGATAAAATGTGAGCAAGCACACATCCCATGAACAGATCATACGTCTAGTAAGCAATAGTACATTACGTGAACAAACAATGCACCCATGAATGAAAACATTCCAAATGAGACAAAATGGTCCATTATTGTGTGTCACTGGTTGCACGACTATTTTAACAAAATGTGCAAAACACATCAAATAAACATAAGCAATTTTGACAACGCATTAAATATATGTAAAGGGAAAGCATATTATGAACATACATACGCGTTCTGTAAGCAAACCAATGATCGTGCATGTATACAAATACATGCGTAAGTACATCAAGAAACATGCAAGTGTACTAAAAAATAAACAAGTGCATTGTGCAAACGCACCGTCAAAAGTGCACGTGCTCCTTACAAATGCTTAAACAAAAAATGCATGTCATATCGGATTGTTAAACTCAATTTAGTCATGTGCTCCAATCATACGCAACAAATTATTAAATTAAATGTGTGAGAATGGTGTGCGAGCCAAAATAAATATGAATATAAATTTAACTTCACATTTAGATGCTTGCAAATGCCCTAAAAATGATTATTTTATTACCCTGAAATTTTTGTAAACTCTTTTTATTTTAAATCAAACTTTTCATTACACGATACTCCCGAGCGTGCACTTTGTCTTTAAGGCAAAGTCACAAGTCCTACATTTTAAGTCCGATTCTCCTTCTTGTAAGGATTGGAATTGACAAGACTTAAATCTCATGAAAGAGAAACTATCAATAAATTTCAAATAGCTCACTTTGGAAGAATCATTTTCAATTTCTTATTCTAATGAATGAATATACGGCTTCAAAATCCATGATGGTACTTGATTTTTCAAGTTGAATTAGGCATTCAATGTCTTAAATAAAAAAAAAATCATTAAAGATTTTACAAACTCTCGAGTTCACTATTTGAATGGCAGCTCATAAAGTAAATATTTGAACACAATCATTTGTTAGCAATTGGGTAGACTTTATAATTTTTAAATAACAATGAAATATACAAACACCCAGATAATGGTTGCGTTGACTGAGAGTATCAACCAGAGGAGACTATGATTTTTAAAATGGAACTACATTACAAAATTAATCACTTTGGACATAAATTCTAATAAAATTTAAAAATCTAATATTTATCAAGATTTAAAATTATTCAAATGAATTCTACCATGCAAAACTTAAAGCAAATATACATCTATCTTTTACAATCATTTGTCAACGGTGGTAAGTTTAAAATAATGTTAGCTCACAAAGAGCTAATATTTGTCGAATGTATCGCTACGATTCATTCTCAAATGATCTCTCATCAATAAAGACGTTGCACATATCCTATACCAGATGATTTTGTCACTAAATGACACCAACAACAACATCAAGCCCTTGTCCCACTACGTGGGGTCAGCTACATGAATTCTTTTTCGCCATTATGTCCAGTTAAGTCAAATTCTCATTTAAATCTAATAAAGAAATATCATTTTTAATATTTTCTAACCAAGTCTTTTTAGGTCTACATCTACCTTTCTTAACATAAGTCAAATCTAATACATCGGATTTGTGATGAATTTGAGAGCTCACTCATGAGCACAAAACTTCTTAAATGTACTAAATAACTTTCATGAATATTTGGAACCCTTAAAAACACACTTAGTGAGTTAAACTTAGAATAAAAATTAACTAGCATGAGCTCTTAAATATAGATAGAAGAGCAACTGTCTGTGAGGCCCACCTGAGCCTCACATGAGTAAAATGCAAGGTCACATACGCATTCCAAAGGCTGCAATACTACATTAAACCCCACACATCAAAAATAGTTGCATTCACATGAATAGATTTCAAACTAAAAAGAAAAGTCCAACCAATTGTACATTTGCACGAATGCCCTAAGCGATGCGCAAATAAAGGAAGCCCTACACACAAAATGAACCAATAATACATCTCGTGAACAAACTGTGTACCCTGTGAATGAAAGTTTTATGAAATGAGACAAAATAGCAAGTCTTTAAAAATCAGACCTGACCAGTCGGTTCAACCAGTTGAACCGCGAACCAGCCAGTCGGCCGGTTACGGTTTGCTCCAAAACCTGTTTCGAAAAGAACATGATGTGGACATCTGATCATGAAGATTTTCAAAGGAGGAGACGACGATTGACAGCCAAGATCATTCCACCTTATCTTAATTTGTTATTTGCAATTTTTTTTTTATTATGAATTTTCCGTTTTTACCCTTTCTTAAGAGGGTTGTCCTATGTAAGCCCTAGGAGCATATGTGTCTTGTTTTAGTTTCTTAGGCATA